CATCGATAAGCACGTACGTGGCGTTCTGCTGGTTGTGGTCGAAGGCCGTAACCTGGCCCAGTGTCCAGCCGTACGGACCATCTTGCTTCCAGTATAGATCTCCTACGCGGAGCTGTACGGCCGATACAGCCTCGGCCTTGATATCGGAGCTGCAGACAGAGCCCGACGCCAATGCTTTGGGCTGCCGCGTGCCAGCAGCGTGCGCGGCCGCAGCACCTGCACCGGACAACGTCATGGTGCTTGACTGGAAATGTGGCAACCGCGACGAAAAAAATGCCACTGACAACTAGCCAGGTGGCAAAACTTCGCTCTTTTGCTTGTTGCCTCTTGCGCGGAACGCGAAGTGATAGGCGTCGGGTTGCCACAAAGTGTCGTGTTGTGGCTGGCCGCAAGTCGTCACCGAGGATGAAGTGACTTGAATTCAGTATGGTAGAGGAAAAACACTGCTCTGATTGGCTGCAATCCAGCTGGTTTTCGAACCATCAGAAGCCGTAGCACTCGCTCCTCCAAAGAAACGTTGTTTTTAATAGCGAGGTTGTAAAATGCATTGAAGGGGGGACCACGTTGTTTTACACGGCAAATTGACTCCCCGTGAAGCTGTATGAAGACACGTTTGCCAGAAGCAGGCTGGTGTATGTCGTAGCAAAGCAGTGCGTGCATTTGCACACCTCAAAATGGCGTTTACACCGAGCTCCTGCTCGCGTGGGCTTAAAAACGCAGGGCAGTTTGTCGTGCCAGAGGCAAAAGGCGTGCACGCCACAGGCCGCTGCGTTACCTACGCGCCGTGTGGATTGTGCATCGCGTTCAGCTTCAACGCAGTGGCAAATCATCCGCTCGCGCTGACTCTCGTCCGGATACTCTCAAGTTGAAGTGGCCGCTGACTCCTTTCGTGCAACTTAGGACAAGTTGCCATATTTCCAGCAAGATGACATCCCTGCCAATCCAGCAGCCTGTCGCCTTAGTATCGTGACGCATTCACTCATGCGATCAAGCTGCGCTGTCGTGCGCGCATATATCCTAGACGGTTACGAGGCTGTAGCGTTCGATAGCGAGTGTCTAAGCCGGTCAAAAAGGCAACTGTGTTACAGTATCGGCGTGACTCACGACCAGCAAGCCACTCAAGCCAAGTGCCACGATCTTAAACTGTGGATGGAGTTCATCCACCAGCCCAGGAAGCAGCCGCAGCCATGGAAGGAGCCAGGGTGGCACTGAACGTCGCGTTGCGAGCGCCATGAGTGCCATGTGAGACCAAAGCAGGATCCTGGTCCGACGGAGACGTCACCACCAAGCGGAGATCCAGCGCTGCTTCGTCGATTTCCATTTCGGTGGTGGCAAAAGTGGCATTGCAAAATACGATCTAACTTCTGACGTTCACTGAGTTCTCAGTCAAGGCCTGTGTGTGTGACATTCACAGTATGAATGCGTATGAATCAAACGCACTACAATTGCTGACGAAAACGATCTTTGGAAAGAAAAAATGTACTTCGCCAGAACCATGATTTATCAACTTTTTGTATTCACTTCTATTTCATTTTACACCATTTAGCCACACCTAAAACTTCACGCATGACAACTAGCTAACATTGATTCGAACATGCAGAGTCAAGTGGCCACCTCGCGACGCCCTCGGGACCCACAACAAGAGCGAGCCCCCTCCTGATCCCGGAATACCAATAAAATTTGGTCGCCAGCGATCAAGATACAACGTTTTATCTTCCAGCTTCGCGACGGTCGAATTCCACGTCGCCCTCCCTCCTGCAGCCACTGGCACTTTGGCGATTGTTTTGCCACCCGAGTGAATCACAACCTTCACGTCCTTTATATCCGAACTGGTGAAGATGAGATTCACCTTGCCATCTCCTTTCTTCTTCCATGTGCCGTAGCTCCCGACAAACGCTTCGTCTATCGTCTGAAGCCCCAGTGCGTCATACAATGAGCCGTCATCGATCTCACCGATGAAAGCAGTGGGTCCGCACGTTGGTTGAACAAATTGAGACGCCAGCCACACGATTCGTGTCGGGTCAAGCCCCGAAAACATCACCAACCCGTA